TTTGATTCACAGATTATAGAAATCGTGGTACTATGGTTAGACTAGGATTCTGAAAGTATTTAGCATAGGGAAAATTTGTGCCTACCACACTTAAAAGCTATAGCAGCTTTTAAAAACAGAATCACAAAGTTACTATATTTTTCCAAAAGCACCTTTCTTTGCCCTTTCAGAATACAGAATTTCACTTTTATAAAGTTAAAGAAGTCATAGTAGAAGAATTTGAGAAAAGTATTCTTTATGGCATATTTCAAATTCAAGGTTACTCCCTTGGCCTTGGTAAATTATGTATCTCTGTGATGTACTGTGAAAGTCCCCTAAACCAATCTGGAACACAGATGGGAGCCTTTCTCAAGGATCAAGTAAGCATTTCAGCAATCATTTTATTAACCAATTGCTTGCTTATTCAGAGAAGGATGCCATTTTCTCTAAATTGAAGTTTTATAAGCTTGCTGAAATGTATACTTCTTGGCATTTGCCTGAATGACAAGAGCAGATGCTGACTTTTTTACACAGCAGATTACAAACCCAACTTCTCAGCCTTGAGTCTCATCAATGTATGACCTGTGGTGGTTTGGAAAATGTCTCCCACAGGCTCCAAGTATTTGGACATTTTTGTCCCCAGTTGGTGGCGCTGTTTTGGGAGGTCTTAGAAGGTGTGGCTATCCTGGAGGAAGCATGTCACTGGGGACGGGCTTAGAGAGTTATCTTGCTTCCTGTGTCTGCTGGAAGATGTAGAGCTTCTGCTGCTCCTGCTTCAGCCACCTCCGGCCGCCATACCTCCCCACCATGACGGATTGTAATTCCCCAGGAACCATAAGCTCAAAAAACTCTTACTTTTATAAGTTGCTTTGGTCAGTGTTTCTATCACAGCAACAGAAAAGTAATTAATACATGACTTTTATGTATAAAATTCGCACAGTTCATGGCTGTTTTCTTTCCACTCACCTCACTGAAAGCTCCTTGTTTAAGACAAAAGGCTACCATTTTCCTTTGTAATTCTAAAAGTATTAATTTATCTTAGTAAGCATTAATTATACTTTGGTGCTTAATGCTATCTGAACAGAGTATATCCTAGTGATGTTTTTGTTTCTATCACTATCAGTTATAATTAATTGTAGAAAAATTCCTTCCTTTCACTTAATATGCACTGCTATGTCCTTGGTGGTCTGGAAGACCAGTCAGCCAGTAAAGTGCTTGCCATGCAAGCATAAGGACCTGAGTTCAGATCCCCAGCACCCACGTTTAAAGACAAAAGTCAGGCACAGCAGCATGTACCTATAATCCCGGAACAGGGACAGGGACAGGGACACACACACAAGAATCCCTGTGGCTTGCAGGCAGGCCAGGGTAACAGACCCTGTCTCAAAAAATAAGGTGAAAAGCAATTGAGGAAGACAATGTTGACACCTGGCCTTCATGCACCAACACACATGTGTAATAAATATGTATTTCCACACATGCATGTATACATAACCGCAAATTGCTAGGTCTCATTAAAAATTAAATACTCAGACTTATCTTCAAGATGCCATCAAGATGAGATTTGTATTACGCTGAGGAGGAAGGAAAATAGATAAGATGATTTAGACACTGCCAGACAGAGGTGGGGGTATACAGATAGGGATGAGGGATAAAGAGTAAGAAGGTGAAACTAGGCAACCATGAAAAATAAAATATAAACATCAGAGTTGGAGAGATAGCTCAGCAATTAAGAATGCATATTGCTCTTGCAGAGGACCTGAGTTCAGTTCCCAGTACCTGTGTCAGGTGGCCACAACTGACTATAACTCCAGCTCTAAAGGATCCCATGCCTCTGTCCTCTAAGGGCACGTGTGCACGCACGCACACACACACACACACACACACACACACACAATTAAAAATAATAAAATAAATAAAAACATCTGTCTCCTTCACAAGTTCTAGAGGGTTGTGCCCAGACTACAAATTAAGAGTTGAAATACGGCAACAGAAATAAAATAAAATTCAGCTCACAAAGGTGTTTTGATAGTAGCCTCAAAATCACAGTTCAATATAGATGTAACGTATTTGCTATTAAATGTCAATGATTGAGGAGACAGTTGTGGTAGAATACAAAGACAATTAAATGGAGAGTCTAGTCAATGAGACCACATATGTGAAAGTGCTTCCATGTACATTCCAGAACTATGAAACAGCCATGTGCTTTCAACTACAAATCAAAACCAAAGCTATGTTTCTACAATATTCAATCAGTAACTTTACTACTTCTTAAATCTGTGTGTGTGTGTGTGTGTATGTGTGTGTGTGTGTGTGTCTTTTCACTTGTTTGAGTGCAGGCATACATGTGGAGGTCAGCAGACAAACTCAGGTGTTAGTCTTCACCTTTCTACCTTGTCTGAGACAGGGTCTCTTGTTGTTTGGTGCTGTATCTGCCAAGCTGGGTGGCCCACAAGCTTCCAGGAATTCTCCAGTCTCCATCTCCCACCTCACCACAGGAGTGCTGGGATTATACATGCAAGGTACAACATCTGACTTTACATGGGTCTGACGATCAGAACTCGAGTCCTTATGATGGCACAAGTGCTGACATACTGAGCCATCTCCGCAGCCCTCAACTAGTAACTTTAAAGAAAAGTTTCTCAGCTCTATTGATATTTTTAGGTCAAATAATTCTTTGCTGTAGGAAGCTGTCCTATATGTACTGCAGTGTGCCCAATGGTGTCCTTCATCTTTACCCACTAAGGGCCAATAGAACTACCCTCCTCTCACAAAAAAAAAAAAAAAAAAGACAATCAGAAATGCTGTCAAACATTGCCAAATTGTCCTTGGGTGGCAACCACTGATCCTAAACAGTGAGAAAAATCTGTAGGTTGCATGTATAGGTCCCTCATATGAACTGAGGATGAAGGCCAAGATGAGTGCGAGCTTAGATATACGCCTAGTAGTCATTAGCCACAGGCGCCTTGGTTTTACAAATTGTCTTATCTAGACGTTATATGAAAAATCACTCTTTGGGGACTAGGGAGATAGGTCATTCAGTTAAGTGCTTGCCTTGCAAGCATGAAGAATTGAGTTGAATCCCCAGCACTCATGTAAAGAGTCAGGCATGGTGGTGTAAAACTGTAATCCCAGAACAGGTGGATCCCTGGATATCAGTGAGAGATCATCTCAAAACACAAGATAGTCAGGGAGGACAAACACCCAAGTTTGGTTTTTGATCTTCATTGTGCACTTATACACACAGGTATACACACACACACACACACACACACACACTCACTCACAAGTGCACACACAACACACACATTCTTTTATAAGCATGAGAAAGTAAAGCTGGGTCTTCATGAAAGCATAATTACTTTTCTTCATTTATCTTCCTTTCATAGCCTGATGAAGAAAATAAAATCACCTGCCAGGTTCCCCCCATTTTGGGCAGTGGGCTAAAGAGGCTTAGTGATCAGTAGTTGTTTTGGATTAGATACTATGGGTTTTTTTCTAGTAGTGATTCAAGGGAAACTGGTAGGAGACTTATCTGAGTCCATTTCCTCCCTTGGCATCATTATTATTTCTTTAGTGTAAAAATACTTGGGTTCATTATGACATTTGCAAACACTCTCATTGTACTTTGCTCATATTCACCACCCTACTGCTCCTCCCTATCTCTTGCTGGCCTCTTTCTTTCCCATAGTCCCCCTTCTGCTTTAATATATACAGCACTTATATGTCTGTGTGAATATCTGTTATATGCACATACGCACAGCGACTTCATATGCTATTTTGTTTTCCCACCCATCTCCCTCACAATCTTCTGATGACTCTTTTCTATAACAAAGTTCAATGCTCCCATTATTTCACCAAAAACATTTGGTTTTCTAGTAGGAGCAAGGTAGCTGAGGTACAACAAAAGACTAACAGACATAGAGAAAACAAGAAATCATGGTACTCAGTCTTTATGTTGACTTTAAACAGATCTCAAGCCTCTCTAAGCCATGTATTTTCAGTTGGGGTCTATCTGCCCAATGGAATGAAACTTGGTGTGTACTTGAAAGAGTTCTATAATATTAATATTTCATGAGGGCAGAGACTGGGAAAGAATCTCCAAAGGCTTTTGGGGGAGCAAGAGTAAACAGAGGCTCAACCAACTTTTCTAGGCCTCCTCTTCAGCTATCAATGAGTCACCATCATCTGCTTTAAAAGATAGTGATCTTTTTAAACATGTTGTGCTGGAGAGCTTCAGTTGCCAACATGACACACTGGGGAAGAGGGAAACTTCATTGGGTGATTGTCTATCAGACTGGCCTATGAGGCATTTTCTTGATTGCTGAGTGATGTGGGAAGGCCCAGTCCACTATGGGTGGTACCACCCCTGGGAAGGTGGTCCTGGGTTGTATAAGAAACAGGCTGAACACAGGACAGAAGAGCAAGCTGAGTAGTGTTCCTCCATGGTCTTTGCTTCAATTTCTGCCTCCAGGCTCCTGCACTGGTTTCTCTCTATAAAGGACTATACTATAAGCTGAAATAAACCTTCTTCTCCCCAAGTTGCTTTTGGTCAGACCGTTTTATCACAGTAATAGAAAACCTAAGAACATGTGTCTATAATTTTGTTTTTTGAAGACATGGTCTCACTATGTAAACCTGGTTGGCCTGGAACTCCCTAGTATGCCAGGCTAACCTCAAACCCAAGGAGTTCCTCTTGCCTCTACCTCCTGAGTCCTGGAATTAAAGATATCCACTACCAATCCTGGCCTTTAAATTTATCTTAATATATATGACAGATTGGGGCTGGAAATAAAGCAGCCAGGGGAAAATAACCAAGCTGCACAAGTCATTAATCTATAGATAAGACAAAGATTCAAACATGCATAGATTAGTATCCGCTGCTGACCAACTATATTGATGACAAGCTTCTCACTAGTTGTTTCGCCACTGAATACCTAACCTTAGAAGAGAAAACGAAGGCACAGTTAACACCAAGTAAGAACACAAAAGAAGTTCATAAATGTGGCAAAAATACAAACCTAAGATGCCGATTTCAAGACCTGACAGGCCCATTTTAATTTTATCATAAATGTTGTCCAGTGTAAAGTCAACAGCAATGGTTCTTGTTTCCACTTTGAATTTTTCTTCTAGAAGAAAAAAAGAAAAATAAATGGGAGATAGGAAGAATTAATGCATGGCAATTATGATTAAATCACTTGATAACATTATCCTTTCAAACTTTTCCCCCCAATTTCAGATGACATTTAGACCAGGATAATTTTAAGCAATCATGAGACCATCTAAGAGATGATATAGAGTCAACAAAACAATAGTTCAGCAATTAAAACTCCCAGTGTCGTCACTGGGCTGACTGAATGTTCTGTAATCAGTTCTCCTTTTGCAAATCAATAATGATAACTGCTTTTCAGACTCTTGGGTACAAATAATAAAACATGATTCATATCACAATGTTACATATTCTTTAAATATCACTGGCTTTGTGATTTTAATTGCAAATTGATGTCTCCTAGAAGCTTTTAACATTATAATACCTTAAGTGTGATATATTAAAACAAAAAGTTTGTCATATTAAATGGAAGTAAAATGAATGTGATCTTATTGTAATTTCGGGACTTGGTTAATAGTAGTCACTACATCTTGGGGCTGGAGAGATGACTCAGCAGTTAAGAACACTGACTATTGCAGAAGATCCAGGTTTGAATCCCAGCACCCACATGGCAGCTAACAACTGTCCATAACTCCAGTTCCAGGGGATCCGACAGCCTCTTCTGTCCTCCACAGGCATTCACTGCACAACACGGGTGTACTTACCTACATGCAGGCAATACACACATAAACATAAAATAAAAATAGTAAATAAAATATTTAACAATAGTAGACACTACATCTAAAAAGCTACACAAAACACACAGTAATAACTCTATAAAGTAATACAAAAAAGATCTTGGTGTTCTTGTTTTCTGGAGACAATTAAGGTCCAATAGCACTGATGGAATTAAGAGCTTCAGAAATGAGACCCAGAGGAACAACATCCCTCTGGGAAAACAGTGTTTCCTTCCGCCTTCACTAGCAGCTGCTTTGAAGAGGAAGCATGGGCTCTGGGGTCACCAAGACACAGGTGCCAGTTTTGTTCCCACACTTCTGCTTCCCTTCTCTCTTCAACCTCCCAACCTGCCTTTCTATAGTGCCAGTCAGTGTAGGTGCAGAATGCTCTTCTTTGAAACTTGCTGAGAATTCAAGATAATTAATTTAAAAATCCTGCTTCCAAAAATAAATCTTTCTTGAGTCGAAGTCAATGTCAGCTCATCACGGAGTTTTCAGGATTAATCCTCATAGGAAGTATCCACTCTTGATCTAAACGGATTTACGTCTCAAACTAAAGAGCTGGCTCATGAGGGATTTTGATTCTTAGTTAGGCTCGATGAAAAGTATCGACCTGACATAGAAATCCATGCATAAACTGCAGAGGAAGATTGACCAAGAAAATACTTACATGGTGTCAAAGGTAGACTTACTGTGAGTATGAGTTATATGTGTATATGTGTATTCATGTAATGGAGCGTCAGAGAGAGTTATCACATCACAATAGCTGGTCCAATATGTCTTATTAGAAAATGGCTCAAAGAACGCCATTCATTTTTCTTTTTACATTTGTGTGTGTGTGTGTGTGTGTGTGCGCGCATGTGTGTGTGTGTGCAAATACCTCAGAACTTACCATTCCTAAGTAAAGAACACTGACTTTATCACAGCACCACATTCACACGGAAAAACAAGCCCTAAAACAAAAGGCTGAGAGATGGCATTTATTCAATGTAAAACCTTATTCAAGAATAAAATAATGCTGGGTATGGTGGCCACACCTTTAGTCTCAGCAGACAGAGGTAGTAAATCTCTGTGAGATACAGGCCAGCCTGGTCTACATAATGAGTTCCAGAACAGCTGTGGCTATAGGGAGACCCTGTCTCAAAAACCAAAAAATAAAAATAAATTAAAAGCAAAGTATTGAAAAGCAATACTTTGTACAAAGTATTTGAAAAGCAAAGTATTTTTCCATGCTAGCAAAAGGTTCTAACATTTAGGAATAAAAGCTCTTATACACACCCTCAACCAAATCAACCCTCCGTACCTTACAGGATTTAGTGAATATATTTATATCACTGTCACTGAGCATCCCTGAGGGATATGCTGCTAAGAATAATTCAGTGAGGTTTTGGAGAGAAGGTTATGGAGTGAAGACCCCATGAAGCTTGCTTTATGTTCATGGGGGAGATGCAAAATGGCTCCTGCTACAAGCTTTTCAAGATAATTAAAGTGTTTGAACCTATTCCTAGATGACTCCAAATCACATTCCAGGTCAGGAAGCACTAGCGCTGCTGCTGTTTTCCTGTAGCTTCTCTCCACTCCCACCACTGAAGTCCCCTCCTCCTCTTTGTTTTTTTAAGCTTTTCTCTACTGGCTCTACTGTAGTCCTCCCCCTCTTCGTTTTTGAAACATGGGTCTGATCACATCATTCCCCTTCTCACAAGCCTCCACATATGTCCATCTCACTCAGAATAAGGATAAAACAGCCTGATACTTATCTGAACTCATCTTCCACTGTTCTCCCCACTGTTCCCCAGTTCTAGGCACTGTGGCCCCTCATATACCTTGAACACAGAATGTGTTCCAAACAAACTCAGGGCATTTGTACCTACTGTTCCTCTGTCTAGAATGTTCTTCCTCATCCCTTGTCTCTGGTGGTTCCTTGAGCAAATGTAACCCTCAGAGTAGTCTGGCTTGATCAGATTTTAGAAAATGTAACCATTCTTCCCCTAGCACCACTGACTCCCTTTGTCTTTAATAATGTATGTGCCTATCTGTCTATCGGCACCCAGTAGCACTGAGGGTCTAGAAGACAAGGACTTTGCTCCATTTTGACAAATGATCCAGGACCTCCCATTCCTGTGCTCTCATTCCTTTAGGTTCATTCCTTTCACTGATTTCAAGAGGGCCACTGGCATCCCCAGCACTACATGACAATGCTCATCAGTAAAAACTGGACATTTCACAGATAGGAAAACCTTCCCAGAAGTATCCACAAGATTTCCATCACATTTCCTTTCTGAGGATCAAGCGTGCTCTGGACCAGGCCCATGGATGGGCCTTGGGGATTCCATGAACTGGTCAATATCCACCAAGTTGCATGAAGGAAAAATAGCAGTGCCCATGTATGACTCGGACAGGAAGTACTCTCTGTGCCTAACCCCTCAGATGAGAATTGCATGTTCTAAAAGGCAGACGTGGAAAGAGGCTAACCTTCTGAACTGGGCAATTCTAGGTGTGGCATATCCTTCATCCCAAACTCTGCCAACAAGACAAAGGACAAAAATCTTCTAACTTTAAACAACACAAAGGTGGGGTAAGCACCTGGAACAGAAAGGGCTATCACTGGATACCTGCAAAATCCAAGTAACCCTCAATGCCACCTTCACTACCTCTCTAACTCAAGCTTCTCCTAAGACCACCAGTCCTTGTTCAGTTAGGGAAGAATAAGTACTGCACCAAAGCCTTATCTTGGCCACTCTGATCCTTTCCCTTCTCTCCTCACCCTACAAAGGCCCAAGAAATGGGTTCTGTCAAATCTCCTCTAGTAGGATCTAAAATAAGATGAAATCAATATGAGCAGATATGTAGGACAACATACTGCAGAATCGGCACCTGCCGTGGACATGAGATGAGCCACTCAACTGCCTCAACAAAGACATTCTTGATACAGAACCATCATCAGCAAGCAGCTCCTGCCCTCCGGCATTGCCTGGCCAGGATCATACCCTTCCCATGTGCTTACATCTCAGGACTGATGTGGCAGAGTGTAAAGCCATCAGACTGCCGTATCTTCCAGCAGCTTTCTGAAGCAGGGCTAAGAAACAGCTGGGCTGGCACTATTCATCTATGCTATTTTTCATAATGGCCCAGTTTTAGTTAATCAAGAAAAGTTTGAATATTTTCAGTTGGACAGGTCTCCTTGGTTGGTGACCTCTCCCCAAATTTACTGCTTATCCTCATCTGTTTAGTCTTAGGTTTTACTGAGTTAGCATTAAGCATTTCAATGAAATTTATGGAGAATGACTTTGTGGTATTCCCTTTAGGGTCTTCATTCATTTCAAGTTTTATAAATGACTCACAGTAAAATCTTGTGGCTACAGAATCTTAAAAGAAAGTAAAGAACTAAAAAATTTCATTGAGCTGAAGATGAAACTCAGTAGTTTAACATGCATAAGTCTGTGGTTCTGATATACAGAACCACAAAAAAAGAACTCTTTTGTTCAAAAAACTACCATTATGCAAAGATAGTCAACATCACTGGGTCCTATTGATAAACCATTTGCTACCTGAAATCAGGTAAGTTGGCATTCTACTATTTACAACTTGAGCCAAATACAGTCATGTACCACCTACACTTTCTTTGTAGAATAAAATGTTTCTGAGATAGTCTTGGTTCACTGTCTCTGGGTCTAGTAGTGAAGACCAACACCCAAGAAGCAAAATGCTAATGACTGGGGCTGGAGACATGGCCCAGTGGTTAAGAGAGAGTACTGCTCTTGCATGGAACCTGAGTTCAGTTCCCAGCACTCAAGTTAGGCAGCAAATGCCTATACTTCAACTCGAAGGGGATCTAATGACTCTAGCCTCCACAGGTACCCACACTCACATGCATACCTACACACACACACACACACACACACACACACACACACACACACACAAACACACACAATGAATCTTAACAACAACAAAAAGCTAATGATTGGTATGAACTGTCCAAGGCAGTCAATTTTCTAGAATTGGAGGCAGAAAAGCAGGTCTGGCTAGTTACGAAGTGGAAAAAGGCAATAAGAAATTGCTAAGCTGATCTGTTCATCTGCATTTATCCACTGCTTGGCAGCAAACAGCATACCTATGAGGGAAAAAAAGCAAGTATGTAGAATTACAGGGCTAGTTAATAATATACTCTCTGGCCTTAAGCTATCCTATCACCTCTAAGGATGGACACTCTGCTGTAAGCACATGTACTCTAACACCACAGCCAGGTTGCTGCTGCAGAGTATCCTGAATGAGTCTAAGGTCAAGCGTGGAATTGGCAGAG